ACGAAGGAGCCGAAGGGTTAAGGCTCTCCGGAGCGGGCTGTGTGTGTCTGCCTGCCTTTCAGTACTCATCTCAGCCACTTCGCTTCCTGCCTTGGTGCGGTGCCAGCGAGAGGTCCTGGCCAGCAGCGCGCTTCCTTCTGACAGCTTAGACACACACACAGGGTGCCACGCTCACCACCCAGGAACCTCTCCAAACCTGGCCCGGCTCCCGCTCCCCGCAGCGAGAGGTAACACTCACCAGCTCCACCTGGGGACCCAGTCCTTCCAGGATCCGGTGGGCAGCCTCTGCCTTCTTCTGCAGGGAGGAAAGGGGAGAGGGAGAAAAAAAAAAGTTATTTCTGCCATCAGTTACAGTCGCAGCCCTCTGCTCCAGCTCTCCCCCTGTAAAACCCCTTCCCAAACCTCTGCAGAGCTGCCACAAATCCCACCCCCGCCTGAAAGTGGGTGGAAAGGTTCAGCTCAGCCTCTGGACCTGCAGGAAAGCCCCACGGGCAAAGGGCTCCAGCACTCGAGTTATCACGACTTTAATGAATCCAAGCTCTGCTCAGGAAGCGATCCGAATCCCCGACCCCTCTGGGTGCCAGGCGGGGGGATCACACCCGTTACCCCCACACGGCCGCCCTGCGAGAAGGAGGGTGGGCGAGCTGGCATGCACGCGGAGATGCCCTTTCTAGGATTCATTGCTTCATGACCATGTGATCATTAGATTTGAGCTGCCCTTGGCTCCTCATCTTGCTCTCGCTTCCCCCCCTGGCCCCACCGCAGAGGAGCCCTTCTCTGCTCCCTTCCACCCCCGGACGAGCTTATTAGAACTAAAAAAAAAAACCCACCCAGGAACAAGTGTCAGGGGCTGTGCAGTGGTTACTAATTAAACAGCCCTCTGAAAAAAAGGCACGGGTTGGTTGCAGCAGGAGTCTAAATAAAAGATGACATTTTCAGTAAACAGCACTTCCTCGCAAAGCCAGGCTTTTCAGTGGGGGTTACTGACAGTCCAATAAGTCCGGATCGCTGCACGCTGCCTACGAGCCCTGGGGCTGAGCCGACAAAGACAAATACCTGGCAGCAAGTGGGGCGAGGGGACGGATTTTCAGAGGCATTTGTTCAATAAAATAGGGAGCTATTTTGGGGTAGGGGGGAGAGAAAATCTACAACTGCCTAAAACAGGGGGGAAGGAGCTGTGGGCAGAGCTGAGCTTCCCAAGATCTAAAGCTGGGATGGGGGTGGGGTGGGGAACCCCTTTTTTAAAGCACATTCAACATTTTAACCCTAGAAGCACTAGAGCCCCGCTGGAGCTGCAGGATGGGAGCTGAGCCCCAGGGTTGGGGAGCTGGGGAGGGCTGGGCTCTGGGCTCCCTGGCAGAGCCAGCAGGGCTTTGGCAAAACCAGGGTGAAGACCCCCTGGGGTGAAGACCCCCCGGGGCAGGGAAGAGATTCCAGCTCCGGGGCTCTGTCTCACGCTCTCTAGCACCAGGCACCTCTCACCTTCCCACCGGCTCACGGCAGGATGAGTTTCCCAGTGTCTCAGCACACGGGATATCTCACCAAAACCAAAAGCTGGCACACCGCCCTGCCAACTTGCCCCTGTGTCCACCCCCCTTGGTGGGTTTCCAAGAGCTTCACCTACCCCCCCCGCCGCCAGCCGGTCCTCAGAAGCGCCGATGCAGCTGGTAGGTGTTCAAGTTCCTCGCCGGGGCTTTGCACACCCACACACAGCCTGATCTGCCAGCACGCACTTTTGCAGAGTTGGCCCCGGGAGCAGCTGCATGAGTCACCTGCCCGCAGCCAAGCTCGGCGCCCCGGCGAAACAGCCCCGGCCCGGCTGCAAAACCCACACCAGGTGCCTCGCTGCAACAGGGCGACCAGGACACGTTTCCAGCTCCTCTATTTACTGCACGCTCGGGCGGACACAAAGCTTCTTTGCAATTTAGAAGCGACTACAAGGATGCTAGGAGAGACATAACCACAAAGCGTGCCTGCTCCGGCGCCGTCCCCACACGTACGCAGCAGCCCCGCTATTAATGCATCCCTGCCCGTCCATCCGCAGTGCTCCTGCACAGCGGACCTCGGGGTCACAGATGTCACGATCGCTGCGTGTACATCACAGGCAAGGACATGCACGCAGGGAGAAGCGGAGCAGCTAGCGATGCTGTGGCAGAGCCTGAAATGTAGCTGGAGCCCATCCGGGGAGCCGCTCTGCCCCCCTGGCCTCTCCCGAGTCCCTGCTCCATCCTAGGAGGACCACGGGCAGGGAGGTGCTCCCAGCTCTCTGCAGCCCGTGGGGATGCGCAGCCGGGGCAGCCACCCAGCGGCTTGCTCCCGCATTACCGGCGTGCCGCTCGGTGCACGCCACACTTCTGCCCGGTGCTGAACTGGTGGAGAGACGCTTGCAGGGACCCCAGGGAAAGCACGGCCGTCCCGGTGATGGAGATGGCTCTTTGGAGAGCAATGCATCCCGGAGCGAAACCCGGGAGATGCTGGGAAACAGCTGCGACAGAAGCAAGCGACAGAAGCAAGCGCCTGCCCTCGCGTGGGGCTTGGGCTCAGGCTCCAGAGAAAGAAGCCACGTGTTTATACACAGCAACTGCATTTTCCGCACTGCAATAAACTGCTCCCAACTCTTCTCCCAGGCCAACCTGCTGCCGAGGCGAGGGTGATTTGACATGTAAGGGAAAGACGGGACCGTCCCTACCTGACCCACAGGGGAAGCAAAGTGATCCCTGGCACCAGGACCTACCTGCAAAGCACAGCGCTTGCAAATTTTCAGATCAACGTGTATCTGCCCTCATAAAATACCACATCTGCTACAGAGTGCCTCTTCCACGCCAGACCCCCTCTCCCTGAAATGGCATTTCCCACTGGGTTCACAACGATGGGACAGCCCTGCCTAACACAGTGCCCGGCTCTGCCGTCCACAAGGATGCTCCAGCTGATGATGGGGAAAACAAAGCCCAGCAAGTGCAGCCCGGGTGAGAAACCCAAGAGCCACACAGCCTGGCCCAGCTCCCCTCGAAGCATTGGACGTCGCCAGCGCTGCGCAGCTGACTCCATTAATGGGAACAAGCCTGGGAACTTGCGCCTTGGAAATATTCATCACGCGATGGAGAACTCCCAGCCAGAGCTTAATATTTTCATCTCCAAGAGCTAAAAATTCTGCTGACCTTGGAGAACATCAGCACCGTGGCATGTGGAAACTTTAAACAATTAAAACCAGGGGGTAAGATTTTCAGGGTGGGTCATTGAAACTGCTACAACAGACACTGCATCCGCTGCTAAGAGGGTGATTTGGCCAACTGCCCTCCTGCCCACCACCACTTGCTGGCACGTGAGAAGCAGCAGCTTACCCAAATGTTTTCTGATGCATACTGGGGACAAAAATCAGCACCCTGATTAATTGCAACCAGTGTAATTGTGGGTAGGAGATTGCAGCCCCAGCTCGAGGCCGCCTGTCCCACCAGAGGCACTGGTGAAAGATGCCCTGGCAGCGGCGGATGGCACAGGGACTGATGATGCTGGAGGCCCATGTGTACAATGCGATTAACTGCGAGAAAAAGCCGAGTATGTTCAGCTGCTGCATTTGCTATGTTTAGACAACTTAATGAGACAACCCAGAGGCAAATCACCATAGGCAGAACATGTGGCGAATCAAGAAGAATGACATAATTTGTCTTGCATTAACCGACTGTAACATACACGTCTCCAGAACGAAAGATCAGGGGGGGAAGCTATTCCAAGCACGTCATATCTTTGTACGTACACAAAGAAATGCCTCTATCTTGAAAGTTGGCCAATTAACATTTGACACCCTCTGTAATTGCTGATGCTCCTTGCTGCATTTATCAGATCACAGCAGAACCGTAATGAGCCGTCTGAAAGGCCACGCAGACCGAGGTGAGGGCTGGCAGCAGAATTGGGAAGGACATATCACACCCAGCAGAAGGTTCCCACCGCACTGGGGACAGAGACACATGGGGAGACACGCTCCCGCCTGGGGAGACACGCTCCCGCCTGGGGACCCAGCTATCCCAAAGCTTGGCTGGGGAATTTAGGCAAACCTCAAACTGTTCACAAGCAAGGGCAGCCCCCAGCTCTCTCCACAGCCACAGGATCTTTGCTGAAGACCACCTGCAGCCCTGTTGAATCCTTTCCTTTCCAAAGGCATAGCCACCTCAGACTCTCTTCCAATATTGATTTCGTTAGGAGTACATTTAGTGATTGACCCTGCAGAGGGACACCAGCGGGTTTGTCCTACAGCTGCTGAATAACCCCACCCGTGCCTGCAATCCCTGTTATTTAACGGAAAGAAACGTATTAGGAAGCAAATCTAGCCATTACTTCTGGTGAGATGCATGCGGATCCCCACTGGTTTTATAGTCCCTCTGCAGCTCCACAGCAAGCAGCTAATGAGCCCTTTTCCTGAGTCCTGCAATATTGCTACAGCACAGGGAGCAGCAGTGTTTGCAGAGGGACTGAAGCCCTAAGGCTGAATTTTGCTCCCATTCACTGTCAAGAGTTGCTTTACTCTGGTAGAGCAGCTCCAGGTTTCGCACCAGCATGGGCAGGAGAAAACCATGGGCACTTCCAAGGGCAGAGGCACCTCCTCTGGAGCACATTTAGGCACGGCTCGGATGGAGAGGTGAAGCCCATCACGCACCAATGTGCACGCATGTGCATTTCGGAGGGATCACGGTGTCTCAAGAAGCACAGCTGAACCACAAACACCGATCTGTGTCACTGCGGGATCCATGGATCCAAAAGGGGACTCGCAGATGTGCCAAGCAGCAGCACCTGCCCCCCAAAAGCCTCCCTCCCCATCTCCCCACAGGCAGGGGCACGGGCAGGCAGATCGTGGCTGGGGCCATCACGTTCTTACCCCATCTCACGCTCCTCCAACAGGCCTGGAGCTAAAGATATCTTCATCAACAACAAAAACCTCCCTGCAGACTATGAAATCTCCATTCTCGCCTAAAAAGCATTTTGCTTCCAAAGCAAACTCCAGCCCCTTGTTTTTCCTTTGAAGAAACTTAAAATAGGCTTGGGAGGGGGAAGCAGGCAGGAGAGCAACTTCCCAGCCATGTGAGCTCCCACGGGGATGACGAGCCGACCCCACGAGGCAGCGAAGCATCCAAAACCAGAGGAGGGAAAGTCTGGGATTTCGCGTGGGCTCCTCTTAAAGCAAAGTTTAAAAATGGAAGAGAAGGAAACACAGGAGTTATTTCGAGAAAGCGGATCTGAAATTAGGAGGCGGCATTTTCTTGGACTGACTCCAGCCATCGCTCCATGCAGTGCAAAGCTGCT